CTTCCTGACAGTGAGAACAATTAACCAGTGGAACAACCTGCCTCCAGAAGCGGTGAATGCTCCAACACTGGAAGTTTTTAAGAAGAGACTGGACAGCCATTTGTCCGAAATGGTATAGGGTTTCCTGCCTGAGCAGGGGGTTGGACTAGATGACCTTCAAGGTCCCTTCCAACTTTACTATTATTATTATTATTATTCCCTCCCCCCCTTGCCGCCAGGTCTCCATAAGCACTAGGCCTGTGGATATTCACCTTGCAAAAATCTAGAGAGCCTTTGTTCTTGGCCTGTTTCACTGCTTCAGGCCTTCGGTTCATTCACAGAGAATGGAGGCCTAAAGTACTACAAGATCATGTGAGATTAGTAGTGTGATCACTACTGATCTGGTGTGATCTCATGGTATTTTAGGCCTCTGTTCTCTGCAAACGGAGGCCTGGACGAGATCTGCGGTAAAAAACTTTGCAAGTGGAGAGAAGGCCTGAAACATTAGTTCCCTCCACTTGCAAAGCCTTTTGCCATATTTGAACAGAGCTTCAGATTGACGCGCATGTTGCTCCCGGCCTCCGTTTTCGTCAGCAGAGGTCTTCGGGAAAAGCCTTTGCCGATGAAAACGGAAGCCTGGAGTGATGCGTGCGTCAATCCAGAGCACTTTTCTTGGCAGCAAAGGCTTTTCCCGAAGGCCTCTGCTGACAAAAACGGAGGCCAGGAGCGATGCATGGAGACTGGAAGCTTCTCAGTGCTGTAATCTCACGGCTGAAGTCATGCGAGATTACAGCACTGAGAAGCTTCTAGTTTTGGCGCCCAAAGTGTTTGCAAGCTCAGCAGACGCTTTGTGGCACTGATTTCGCTGCCTCAAGTGTCCCCTTAGCTTGTAAACTTAGAGAGAGCTTCCGAAGCTCTCTCTAAGTTTGTTGAAATTAGCTCTCTTAAAATCCAAGACTCTAGTTTGGATGTGTTCTATTGCTTGTGCTTGCATAATGTTGAATTCCAATATTGCATGGTCACTCCCCCCAATAGGTTCCTATGGTTTCAACATCTTTAAAAGGGACAAAATTGTATTAGTTGAGTTAACTTTCAGTTTTACTCTAGGTCTATAACAGTTAATTCCTATTCATCAGATTATTTCCTCTTTTTCTTTTTTAACAGAAGCTGTTGGTGTAACTAGTCAAAGACCTGTGTTCTGCCCTTACCACAAAAAGGAGCAATTGAAACTCTATTGCGAAACTTGTGACAAATTGACATGTCGGGATTGTCAGTTGCTAGAGCACAAAGAACACAGGTATTAAAATTAATATATCTGAAAAGAAAAGAAAAAAGGCAAAGTTGGATAAAGAGTTAATAAGAGTCTGTTAGAGAAGTATGAGTTGCAAGAGATAGGCTAGCCTGATTTTTTTTAAATCTGGTTTGCTTTAGAATTAATGTATAATTTGATATGATTTATTGATCTCATCGGGTTATATTTATATCTTTTGATTCTCTTTTCCCCCCTCTCTATTCAGTTTTAGTCTATGTGTTTTTAAAAGATTATATATAAAATACACCTAATGTAAACATGCTGCATATTTCTTTTTCCTTTCTTTTTCTTTTTCTGCAGATACCAATTCATAGAAGAAGCCTTTCAGAATCAAAAAGTAATAATTG